ATGCTAAACTAGTACTGTAATTACTCTGCCTGGCATTTATGTACCTATGCCTACTCTTCAACTAAAAAAAACAATTAAACCATCTTGCTAATTAAATTAACAATACTATTAAATAAAAAAAGATTAATCTCCATATTATTTCTTCTGCTGTATCTTCCACTCAATAAACTGTATTCCAATCTCTTGTCATAGAGACTTTGGTACACACAGCATCACTGTCGTCCATGCTGGTGCTGTCCTTGCTCGTATGGAGACTCTGGATTCCAAAACAGGCGAAATGTCAGCTTTAGAGAAGCAGAACCTCTCAGCAAAAGCGGCTGCGAATTTTGCTAAGTTTTTTGGTGTCACTGGCAACTATGAACATAAGTACGATGATCAAGAGGTAAGCCATAGCGGATTAATTGCACATGCACTAAAGCACTGGCTAAGGATTACGAGTAGTTGATTTGTGCTGAGAAAAAACTGTTTATAATTTCGTAGAGTAGGCTAAGTCAGGCCTGATAATTAAGGCAAAATGTGTCTGTAGTATGTACCAAATCAAAATCACTAACGTAATTGCAGAAAGTAATAGTAGTTGTAATAGTGGAATGATAAGCCTTAACTTGAAAGATAGTTCTCTTACCTCTAGTTGAATTTATGCCCATTTCATTAATCAAGTTGGAAGCTATACTAATGTATTAATGTGCAAGTTTTCAATGGATGACAAAACATCAGTACGTTTATAAAAGCAACTATATCAGGCCAATATTCATGAGCTTCAGTAATAAATAATTTGAGGTTTTGCCATATTGCACCTTCAACGTCTATGTAAAATCATTGTGCAATGGCGCTTAGTGGCAGAACAATCGAAGGATAACTAACAAAATATGCTATGTCACAACCTTTGCAAGGAGCGTTGCTAGTTAATTAGCCTAATGGAGATCATGACTAACAGTCATGATTTGTTATTACTCATTACTTTGATCTTTTTGGAGATACTGCGAAAATAGTTCCAAGAGGTCATTCCTCTTGACCTATAGAACTTGGTAGATATTTTGTTGGAAACATGTTGGTGGATACTGTTTTGAAGAAATGGAGGAATTAGACTTTGTATCGGACATACCGTATGCAAACATGTAACGAAATAGTTGGTGTATACAGACGAGTGCTATTTTATGTGTTTCTTGTTGCTAATAATGTTGTTAATGTTTTTGTATTAAATTTGCCATGCCAATTATGTTAGAATATAACATTGCAACAAGCATATTGTTACATTCGTTACATGCCCAAAACAATGGAATCTTGCACCTTGAACATGCCAACTTGATCTTCACCGGCACAGATAAGCGGTTACCGCAGTCTGATTAAGTCAAGTCGACTGATAACGTTTGGAGGCCCAACTCTTCGCCTCAGTAACATTTCTTTGCATCAGTGGGAGCAGGGTTTGATAAATAACCTGGTGGCGGTGGATCGTCGCGGTTGTCCACTCAATGAGCTTATTACTTCACGTGTATTGCCGGAACTAAACGAGTTGATAATCAGAGGTTTGGCCAAGACGGTGGAAGTTGCCATCCTTCGTTACTACGCCGCCAATGCTGTCGTTGGTTTGTATATCTTCAGAATATTATTTAATACTTTTGTCATATTAACTCATTGAAGAAACCAAAGGATTAACTACAGACTTTCCCTCTCAGGGAAATTCGTACCTCAATAAACATTTGTTATAAAGGTCATTTTTATGTAAAGAGCATACTAATAAGCTTTTATATTATTCTTAAAAATCTTTTAAGAATAGCTAGCGGGTAAATTTTGCTCGGACTAGTGTTCATGTGATTCCTAAAATAGGTTGTCTCAAAGCGAAAAAATGGCTTCAAATCAACGAGCATGTTAATAGTATCTTTACTTGAACGGATATCAATAAAAAGGGATGCTTAAATAAGAGTTTTTCATATAATAAGCCTTAAAAGTAAAGCGATTAAATATTATTTTACTCATAAATATGTTATAACTATTGCTAGTCTATCGATGCAATAAATAATCAGAATGGCAAATTAAGCTCCCTAACTTCCTTCTGATATTGTATACCTCGTACGACAGGCTGCTTGGATCCCAAATCTATCTTCTACGACAAGGATGCCAATATTCAAGCAGATCACTGTGATAGCACAGATCGACATGAAGACGGCCTTGATTCGACAACCACTTTGCTGCTTGGTGGTGTCTTTACACGATGTAAAGGTGATGAAAGCCTTTGTACAGGGCTTGGGCTGGCCAATCCAAAGACTGGAGATTTCAGCTGTGAACCAGGATACATCGAGATCCAGCTGATACCAAAACAGGCAATTAAGTTTTTTCCTCAGCTTATCAATAATCGGTTATATGTTTGCTTCTTCATAAATCTATTCTTGTAGGGCTCAAGCATTGTGTAAATTATAGACATTTTACCAAAATAAGGACAGACACTTCGATCTGAAAAAAACATATTTCAAGATTTGTTGAGACAATGTTTACACTTCGGTTGTCCATGAAGTAGTTAAAGTAACTAAATGATTTATTTTAGCGTCCATTTTCTAAGTTTATTAACTCTTGGAGGCAAAAACAAACTAACAAATCAATTTAAGGAGTCAAAATCGAAACACTATTTCGGCAATTCTTCATTCTGCTTCAAGCTTCATTATGTTTAATCCCCACGAATCCAGACTGTATATGATCACTACAATTTGTAGAAGTTTTTATTTATTCTAGGATATTAACATGGCTCCATTGCCTGACAACAACTTTAACAAAATGAGTGAATATAGTTGGAATCAAAGAATTAGTATTAAGCTAAATGATTACACATTTTAATATTAAGTGAGTTATAAATAACTACCATCATTCTCAATTTTAGGTATATTAGTTAGCGAATGCTTAAACAAGAATGATATTTGAAAATAGATAATAAAAAATAAATCTTTATTTTGATAATTAAATGATGTTAATAAGTTATGAGCTAAAATAATAGGCCAAATAAAGAATAAAATAATTTTTAAACAAATATTCAGTCGACGAGTAAGAGTATTGCAATATTTATTATGTGATCATAATTTAAAATATTTTCTAAGGATTGGAAGTAAGTGAGTTAGGTGACCCTTACCAAATAATAAATAATATAGATCCGAGATAATTTTAACTGAACATTATACAACATCATATTATAGATCATTTTGCTTTGGAGAAAGTTCAATATCAGTACGGTCAGACAATGGTGCTCGTACACTTTATAACTAGTCTGTTTGAGGTTTTTATATTTATTAAGGGGGATTGTCAATATCATTAAAGTCTAAGGGCTTCCAATCCTTAGGCAAGTACATTGAAAGACAAAAGTTTTCTGTTTTCTAAATAAAGAAATGAACATTATGATCCGGATTATCAAGCTTAATTCTATGATCTAGTCAGGCTAAATCACAGTAAATCTAAGGTAATCCTCCTTCAATGTTAGATTATACAGACCTTCAGTTATTCTTATTTAATCGGGCCACATGAAATTAAATGCTCCAAGCTAAACACTATTTTATAATTAATTTGACCAACCTTACTATCCCTCTTAAGTCTCAAAAATCTTTAAATTGAAGTCCAGGCCTTATTTCAAATAGACCGTACCCATTATCAGAATAATACCACTAAGTTGCTCCCCTGGAGGGTATAGCGAGTTACATCAAAAGCACAAAGTTTGATCTTATTTTTACGTTTTAAAGTAAGGACAAAGGCTTCTGTTAGGCGAAAAAGAATAATATATTTTTCGTATTTAAGAGTTGATCTTTTGGTACATTTATTTTACTCATAATAGAAAAATAAGTCAACTGCCAATACTTCAAAGTAAATAAAGTAAACTGTAATATAAGTCCATAAAATCATATATTTATATAGAAAATATATACATCACTTTATTTGGTCCGCAACCCATGATGACATATCTTTATATTTTTAGTCAGATGGTAGAAGCTTCGTCAGGTAATTCTAGAGTTTACGCGAAATTTCTAAAGATTGATGACAAATGCAATACCATTAGAGATTTGGGTTGATTTGGCTTCGTTCTATTATAGAGTAAGAAATATAACAAAAATGTATTAAAATATAAAAGTTTATTAAGTCAGACAGGCTGGCTGTAATCAGCTAGTTGGATCAGTCTTCTGAAGCAAGTAAAGCAATTATTTTTTGTCAGCTTCACATTATACAAACTCATTTTACTCATTAGCTGATTACTTGGATTGATTGTCACCAAGAGCCTTGAGACTTGGAAGAAACCAGCAAAATATACAACCAATCCTTTTTCATCATCAAAGGCAGAGAGAATATTTAATGACCTAGCAATAGCACTTCAATTAAATGACTAAAGTATCAGCTCAGCAGAGTAAAAAATACATTGATGAAGAAAATAACAACCGTAAGTTAGATGGACAGAGGCAATCAAGGCTCTTCCTGGAGTTCAATTAGCAGAGTCAAGCAAACTTTTAAGAAGCTAAAAGTGTTGTCAAGGTTAGCTCGATGGATGCTCCTTCCCCGAGTTATCCTAATATCGTCGCATGATATTATTTATCTCTGGCATTTAGAATTTATGCAATACCATAAATATTTTCGATCCCATGTTCGGCGTCATCCAGGGGCCTTCCAAAGCTTAATATCAAGCTACAAACCTTCAGCGACAAGATACTTCTTGGCTCAGTTATGTACAAGACAAGGCTCCCTGACGAGTCAGACTATGGCGCCGGAAAGTTTCTTATACTGTACAAATTCGAATTACGATAAAAACTATCGTGACTACTATGTTAGTAGAAATAGAGCAAGTAACGTTCATCGAGGTCCCTTTTAAAGCACTTTAACCCCTCAAAAGTTTGTCTGACTCTGCTTATTCAACACCAGAAACATTCTTAGCTGCCCTTGTCCATTTAAATTATGCTCGCTTATGTTCAACGTCAAGGAATTTTATAATTGTTTGAAGTGATAGTTCGGTGATTTAAATGCAGTACTTTGGCTGCGTCATGAAAGATTCTAACTGTCATTCTTGATTAAGGGTGATTTGTTTTACATTTTGTTGGCTTTATTCTATCGTCAAGGCAGTTGCTGATAAACAATCCAAATAAGGAGCTAACTAATAAAACGATTTTATCTGATCTAAAGATGGCATTAAATAACTGCTATACCTGCCTTAAAATCTTGATCAATTTTTAGACTGCATTGATATTAAATCAGGTTTCGATACTAGAGACTATTATGACTATTATGTTCTATAGGCCCAAACAGTAGGACTTTACAGAATTCCATATGACAACAGAACCAATTTGCGAAAATGAGGTAAAACCTATGAGATATAATTCAGAATAAATGCCACACCATCTTGCTCTTCATCCCTGCCGTTTCGAGGAGTTGCTGCTTACTTCATTTTTCAAGTTTTCTCGTAGACCTCCAGGTTAAACAAGTTTTATTTGTACTCGATACTGTGAATAACTGTATCAACTTTCCTTCTAGATTGGTCGGTGTGCCGAGGAGTGTAACTCAAGCTGGATCTACGGCACGAACTGCCAGCAGCACTGCTCGACTACCGAAACTTTCTGGTGCTCCCTGGATCCCGAACAAGCCATGGACATGGCACCCAGCAGTCCTGACGGCAGGAGTGAGGTGACCGACGACTTGGGCCTGCTTTTCGGAGGCCTTTACTCGACCGACATGATCAACCCTGTTACACAGACACAGACCTGCCCACCCTACTTTTTCCCGCTACCCTTGTTTCCAGGTGACCCAGGTAATGGAGGAATCGCAGGTTCCACTGGCCTGCATATTTGCGTGTCAGCCGACCGCGAACTGGGCGGAGAGTATGCTCTGCCGTTTGGCGGTTTCTATGCCTGTCAGGCTGGCAATCCGTTGGCCATCCTGGCTGATATTTCAACCCGCAAATCGGGCTCCACCGAAGGACAAGGAAATACAAGAGAGGAGCAAAAGCCAAAGACTAGGATGAATAAAACTCCGAATATGGAAGACAATGATGAAAAGGTTAAAAGAACCGAAATCCGGTTTGTAGAACCATGGCGAAATCTGTATTTGTCAGCAGAAAAGAGGCTGAAGCATGTGGTAGGCAAGCAAATCAAGCGAAATCATTCCGACATAACTCCGTGGAGAAGGACAATGAATCCAGAAGATGTTTCCTTGCTCGTTAACCAAGAGTTTTGGCCTAAAAGATGTCCACCAGGATATACTTCACATCTTGCTGTTATGCTCAACGCTTGTCAAGTAAGTGGAGGGACAAGTAGGTAAACCGATCGGCTGGGCTTCGAAAAATGCCCAACTTAGTTAATGTAAATCGGTCTTCGACTAAATTGAGGAACTGTAAATTGGCCTCAGCTTAATTGTTGAAAGATTAATAAACATGCAAATTTGCTGTGTTAAGCGAATAAGTGTGTAACTAGCATGTGAATAAATCCTGAAATGTTGTCTAATGTTATATTGTGTGGTAGTTTGCGAGCTTTATTACTTAAAAGTCAACTGGTAGTCTGCCGCTATAACGAACTAGTGATCCAAGTAAGAGGCTAACTCAATTCAAAATGCACCAAAGATTCGTAATTATTGTTTCGTTTTATGGACGGCGATTTTATTTCTGCTTAGCAAAGGATTGTTAGTGGAATTTCACGCAGCTTTATGAATAGGCCTCACGATGCCAATTAATTTAACCTAGTTTTTCCTATCAGCATTTTTCTTCTTTATGCTGGTCTAGCCTACAAGTTTCTTTTTACCCCGTTTTAATAAGCACCTTCACTAATATTCTAAACCGATTTTTGCATATAAAATAATTAGTCGGCTACTCAGTGAAGCCTCTCTTAATTCATATTTACTGCGGGAGTGATCGTCAAAGCAAACATATTTTAGATCAGAGTATGTGCCGAAGTCACAACTCATGCTTGAATAAAAAGTTTTCTCACCTCGGTTGCCTAAGATGATTTAAGCACAGATATCGGTTGCAAATATTTTTGTGGTGTTGATAGGACTTAGGCGATACTGACACTGCAGTCCAGTTTAGATGGAAAAAACTTTTACAAAGAAAGCTAAGTAAAATTCAATGAAATTGTGAGGCCTACTTAGTTCATTTTCTAAAAGTACCACTAGGAGTACCAAACCTAGAGTGACATAAGTTCTTGTCCATGAATGTTTGAATAAATCAGGGCATAATCAAATAGAAAATGGTTGTTCATTTGTTTGACAAAATGGCAAGAAGGCATAAAGTAAAGTAATAGGAAATTTAAAATGAACCACTAAATTCATTCTAGCATAAGATGATGATAGGCTAACCTTTTCGAATGTCATATTTGGTAAAGGTCATAATTAACTAGGGATCCATATTAGAAACCCACTAGTATATCTTACCTTCTTACCATCTTTTCTAGTCCTACTTACTGGGTTCAAATAGTTTGGAATCAAGTCCTTGATAATTTGAAGTTCATTGTAAGAAATGCGGAACACAATCATCAGGAAATGAGAACTTTGAGGAATGTCTTGTTTGTCAAAACCGTCCAATGCACAATGTCAATAAAACATATAAAATAAGACAGAGATGAAGCGTGCTAGTTTCCTCCCTGATTTAAAAAAATACCACGCAAACTACTAAGGATATGGAGTAAAGGATTAGTGTATCAAACTAGCTCATAACCTTCCTAAGTCGTTCTTTCTTCTAAAGCATATTTGGATAATCTATACTTATCATAATGTCTAAGCTTTTAGGTAAGGGAGTTTTGCTGGTTCATCAATAATGTGGTAGCGCGAAACAGCGAAGTCTATTAGATGGTTTGTGTTTTTATAAATCGTCTGAGAAAAACCTTGGTTATTACAGGGCACAAGGTATGGTGGTCGAAATCTTAATATTTT